CGGCGCTGCAGGCAGAGGATTAGCCTAGTGAGCCACAGCACTGGCCTGTTACATTTATTCTAAACTCTTCCCCCCAGAATTATCCAACCATTTCAGATATCAACATTACCCTCGTATATTCAATGCTATATGAATTGTTGTTCTTTGTTGTTTTATACCTTCATATTAGCAAAATATGAAATTCTGTAAAAAAAAATCCTTTGATCTTAAAAGAAAATTAACCCTTGGCCAGAGCCACGGCTCACTAGGCTAATCCTCCGCCTTGCAGTGCCGGCACACCGGGTTCTAGTCCCAGGCGGGGCACCGGATTCTTTCCCGGTTGCTCCTCTTCCAGGCCAGCTCTCTGCTGTGGCCAGGGAGTGCAGTGGAGGATGGCCCAAGTGCTTGGGCCCTGCACCCGCATGGGAGACCAGGAGAAGCACCTGGCTGCTGGTTTCGGATCAGCGCGGTACGCCGGCTGCGGCGGCCATTGGAAGGTGAACCAACAGCAAAGGAAGACCTTTCTCTCTGTCCCTCTCTCACTGTCCACTCTGCCTGTCAAAGAAAAGAAAAGAAAAGAAAAGAAAAGAAAAGAAAAGAAAAGAAAAGGAAAGGAAAGGAAAGGAAAGGAAAGGAAAGGAAAGGAAAGGAAAGGAAAGGAAAGGAAAGGAAAGGAAAGGAAAGGAAAGGAAAGGAAAGGAAAGAAAAGAAAAGAAAATTAGCCCCCTTTCTGTAGCATAAAACAGATTGCCTTGTTCTTGAGAACTTTCCCATCAAGAATTTAGTAGAGGCCGGCACCGTGACTCACTAGGCTAATCCTCCGCCTGCGGCGCTGGCACCCCAGGTTCTAGGCCTGGTTGAGGTGCCGGTTCTGTCCCAGTTGCTCCTCTTCCAGTCCAGCTCTCTGCTGTGGCCCGAGAGGGCAGTGGAGGATGGCTCAAGTACTTGAGCCCCTGCATCGGCATGGGAGACTAGGAGGAAGCACCTGACTCCTGGCTTCGGATCAGCGCAGCGCGCTGGCCGTAGCAGCCATTTGGGGGGTGAACCAATGGAAGGAAGACCTTTCTCTCTGTCTCTCTCCCTGTCTAACTCTGCCTGTCAAAAAAAAAAAAAAAAAATTAGTTTAAGCAGGTATATTTCTATCTTTTTGATGTTATCGTTAATGTTTCTAAAATCAGAATCACTTTGTATCATTTTCATATACTTCTGATGCTCTTCATCAATTAATGATCAGAAATAAGGTATAAATCCCCAAGCCCTGCCCATAAGAGCTAAGTAGAATCTTATTGTAAGTTGTAGGGAGTGCTGCCCTAACTCATGCATTGTGAAAAATGAACTGCTATTGGGTTTGATTGACTGTTGATGGACTGTGGATTGTATATTAGAGGCTATTGAATATAATGTATAGTGCTCAATAATAATTTTATTCTTTTAGTATAAAAAAGGTTTTAAATATGAGAAATAAAGCCCTACTATATTATCTTAAAAAGAAAAGAAATACAGTTTTCTATGAAAGAACAATTTTTAAAAATTTTTTAAAAGATTTTATTTAATTATTTGAGAGGCAGAGTTGCAGGCTCAGAGAAGGAGAACAGACAGAAAGTTCTTCCATCTGTTGGCTCAGTCCCCAAATGGCCACAATGGCTGGAGCTGGGCTGATGAAAGCCAGGAGCCAGGAGCCTCTTTGGGGTCTCCCAAAGGAGGTGTAGGGGATCAAGCACTTGGGCCTTGGAAGAACAATTTTATTCTTTTTTGTAATTAAATACGATTTAAAATATTATTTATATTTATTTAGAATATTCTCTATATCTGTATAAACTACTTTATTTAAAAACAAATTTGGAGGCCACTCAAAGTAACTAATAAAAAAACCCTTCTGATTTTTTAAGCATATTAAAAATAAAATTCCTTTTTTTTCCAGCTAGTATACGAAGTGTACATATGCTATAAAAATGCATGCTTTGGGGCCAATGCTGTGGTGTAGTGGGTAAAGCCACAGCCTGCAGAGCCAGCATCCCATATGGGCACAGGTTCGAGTCCCTGCTACTCTACTTCCATTCCAGCTCCTTGCTAATGCACCCGGGAAAGCAGCAGAAGATGGCCCAAGTGCTTGGGCTCCTGCACCTGTGTGGGAGACCCTGAAGGAGCTCCTGTCTCTGGCTTTGGATCAGTGCAGCTCCAGCCATGGCAGCCATTTAGGGAGTGAGCTAGCAGATGGAAGACAACCACTCTCCCTTTCTCTGCCTCTGCCTCTTTCTAACTCTGCCTTTCAAATAAATAAATCTTTAAACAAAATAAGGCATACTTTGCATTCATTATGTAAATCCTTCCTTCATTCAGAAAATAACATCTGTGGCAAAATCTAGAATGACAATTTTAATGGAATGAGCTGACCCAGACACGACTATAATGTAGCAAGGCCACAAGAGAATGAAACAGTGTAAGGCATCTGTCCTACTCAGTATATCTAGCATCCAGCAAGGCCACAGGCACACCTGTTTCATTTTCAAGTAATATCTTCTAGAACTTGTCATAACAGCCACCAATTAATATACAGGCACTCCAGTAATTATTTGTTTAAAGAATAAACTAGCTAATAAGTCAATAAATGAATTAGCTAATAAAAAGGAAAACAAAGCAACCAACCATTTGTGCTTTTCACTAAACAAACAAAACTAATTGCTTTGTGTTCTACCAAACATCATGTTGTATTGGGGGGTAAGCAGATAAAACTAACACATGATCACAAGCATTTTAGTTCATTATTGCCACTAAAATATAGCTAAATTAGTAAGTTAAAAGTTGCTATAACCTTATTAAGAACTTTGAAAAAGGAGGGAAATTTAGACTTAATCTCTGTTAGTGCCATAATGCACAACTATTTTATTTATGGTGATAATCTAAGATGCTAGTGCAATGTAGGCATTCCACAACTATGTGTGGAATTAATACATTTTAATCTCATAATACTAGTATTTTCATTTACATGTAATGCCTTCTAGTATCCATCATAAATATATACTTTTAGAGTTCTAATTCAAAACAGTATAGCTCTTGGTTTAACATATAAAATAAACATTTTCCCCATTTCTGCCTAGTTTTTATAATTATAATTTTTAAGGGCCACATAAAATTCCATCATGCTATTTATTATCAAACTCATCACCTATCCTTGAACACTTGAATTGTTTACCAAGTATTTTTGTTACTATTATAAAACTACAATAAATGCAATGGCAAATATCACACTTTGCTTTATCCTGAATTTCCTGGTAAGAGAAATTTCAGAAACAAATTGAATAAATACCTTTATGGCTACCTGCTTTACATTATATTTTTTTCTAAATTACTGGGCCATTTACAATATCACTTATAATATACAATAATTTACTACATTCTCACCCAGAATTCAAAATCTGTTTGTTTCACAATTTTGTTCTTTAGTGAGAATGTACAGTTCTACTGTGCTGGTTAACTGGCATTTTCTCCTATTAAATGGGATATTTCTCTTTTCATAAAAACATTTTAAAAATAATTCAGATGCGCTTTCTAAAGTATGACAAATAACTAATATTTTTGTTATGCTTGATGTACAACTTTCCCCTGTATTGCTCTTGCACGTTTGGTTTTGTTTCTGCTCACCAAGGAGATGACACAATAGATGAATCAGTCTGGTTGCTTTGTGATTGTTTCATAAATCGAATCAAATCTAAGAAATACTTTCGCTGTATGCTAGTTTAAATTTTTTTTAAATTCTTCACTGATCAAGAATCTAAAAGGAGGGGCCGGCACGGTGGTGCACTAGGTTAATCCTCCACCTGTGGCGCCGGCATCTCAAATGGGCACCGGGTTCTAGTCCCGGTTGCTCCTCTTCCAGTCCAGCTCTCTGCTGTGGCCCGGGAAGGCAGTGGAGGATGGCCCAAGTGCTTGGGCCCTGCACCCACATGGGAGACCAGGAGGAAGCACCTGGCTCCTGGCTCCTGGCTCCGGATCGGCGCAGCGCCAGCCGTGGCAGCCATTTGGGGAGTGAACCAAGGGAAGGAAGACCTTTCTCTCTGTCTCTCGCTCTCAGTGTCTGTAACTCTACCTGTCAAATAAATAAATAAAAATCTTAAAAAAAAAAAAAAAAGACTCTAAAAGGAAGTCCCTAAACAAATTTTCTCAAGTGTCAGTTAATGAGTTACAAACATCTACTTCAACAGGAGCCAACGAGTCTGTTGAGCATTGCTTATTTCTAGCGTAAGAAGAGAATCACCGTCTCTAAGGAGAAAACCTAAGGAGATCTGTTCTCAGCAGGGTTTTGCATCACCTTCCTTGTTACTGAGGTAGATCTGAGAGCCATTTTTGTTGTCCTCTTTCACGTAGCTCTTTGACTTCTTTCACTGAGACGAAGCGTGCCTCCTCTTATTTGTTAGTTATACGGAGCTCCGCTCTTCAAATCCTGCTAATGCTCCCCAGCTCTATTTGCCTGCATTATCAGAAATGCTTTCCAACGTTGCTGTAGTTCTGAAACTATTTTCTGCAGCAGAAGTTCCCCGTCCTGGCTGGAAATTAGCTTTGCCTGTGAAGCTCTTCTTACGCCCAGAGCCACAGCCGTACCCTGGGGGGTCTGACTCAGGCTATCAAGCACAGATCCAGAAATGCATTATTTTCAAATCCCCCAACGTAATTCAGAAACAGAGCCCAACTGATGTACTACCAATGGCCCTCAGATTTGAGGGCAGAAGCTCTTGGGTGGGAGGAATAAGGAAGCCCAAGGTTGTGTTCTAAGTTTGCTATCCTTGCTATCACTCAAACAGCTGCACTTCTGTCTATTTTACACTTACAAGGGTCTGGGTAAGATTTCCTTTGAAGAAAAATACTTTGCTGCCTACATAAAAAATTTGAAAGTCACTGTTCCACTTATTAACTGACTTTAAAAAAATCAATATATATGAAGAACTGCGAAAGCATTCTACACTGCTACTCACACAACAGGTAAAGGTTAGACTCTGCTAGCCCTCAGAATCTTTATAATCTACATTCAGTAGCTTAGGGAACAAATTCTCTTTTTCTTCAATGTGATTCCTATTCCTACACAACATTATGTAAATCCCAAAACATAGAGCAACATCCTCAAGATGAATCTACTAATACAGACACTGCACACAAAACACCATGTGACATGCTTGTTGTTTCTGACTCATCATCTCCCTCATAGCTCTACCTCCAGCCACAGCAGCTTCCTCTTATTCCTTAAACAGTCACTGCAAAGGTCTACACAGGGCCTGTGCAGTAAAAGTTCTCTCTGGTTGCAAAGCCCTCCCTACACCTAACCAGATCGCTCCTGTCCTTCCTCGGTCTCTGTTTAAAGGTTTATCTTTTCAGAGTGAACTTCACTGATCACTGACAATCCCATCTGAAATAGAGAAGAAAGAAGGAGAAAGGTTTTCCGCTGGTTGTTTGTTGTGGTGCCACTTGGGACACTCTCATCCCATAACAAAGTTCAAGTCTTGGCTACTCCACTTCCAATCCAGCTCCCTGCTAATGCACCTGAGAGGGTAGCAGATGATGGCTCAAGTGCTTAAGCCCATGCCACCCACATGGGAGACCAGGACTGAGTTATAGGCTCTTGGTTTCCATATGGTCCAGCCCTGACCTGTTGTGGACAACTGGGAACTGAGCTAGCAGACGGAAGATATCTCTCTGTATCTGTGTTTCTGTCTCTCTGTGTGTCTTCAAATAAAATGAAAATAAATAAATAAAATGTTATGAGTATTTCAAAATCTAAACCCTCCAAATTAGAAAATTATAATAAAACAGCATGAGTTCACAACTTACAGTCTTAACGTCATTTTCATGATGAAAAATATATTCAAACAAAGCCTGTGAAGAAAAAAAAAATGCCAAAATAGATTAAATTTCAGCAAAAGCACTCTATTGTGTTATCCAAATTAAAAGCACAGGATACTCTAAAGTACCTGAAACTTCTAAGAATCTGTTCAGCATCTGTTATACTCAGTCATTTTAAAATACTACTACTTACAACTAATTCCTTTTTTTATAGAATGAAAACTAAAAAATGAAAAAATTAAAGAGTTTTTTCACATTATGCATATTATTTTATTGGAAAAAGACAAATAAAAAGCATGCTTATTACAGACCAACTTTAGGACTGCCATATAATAAAGTCAGCCAATTTTTCACACTCTCTACATCTGTTATAGAGTGATGATATTAATAATGAGAAGACATGAAAAATCCATAAGTTCCTTCTGAAATAAAGTAGAGTTCTCAAGCACAAAGTAGGGTGTGTTTGCTTAATTTTTAAAGTTATTTCTCCTTGGTGCCAGCGCTATGGCCTGCAGCACCAGCATCCCATATGGGTGCCAGTTTGAGCTCCTGCTGCTCCACTTCCAGCTCTCTGCTAATGCACCTGGGAAAGCAGCGGAGGATGACCCAAGTGCTTGGGCTCCTGCACCCACATGGGAGACACGGAAGAAGCTCCTGGCTTCCGATCAGCCCAGCATCGGCCATTTCAGCCATCTGGGGAGTGAACCAAGCAATGGAAGATCTCTCTCTCTCTCTCTCTCTCTCTCTTTCTTTGCACCTCCTTCTTTCAAAGAAAATAAATCCTTAAAAAAGTTATTTCTCATTTTATGGTATTTATAGTCACTCTAAGGCTCAGACTACTTAGGTTTCTTTAACAGGGTGTTTGCTACTCAGCCTAACTGCACAATGGAATCACATAGGGGCCCCAGGCAAGACTAATTAAATCAAAACCTCAGAGGATGGGAGATAGGGAAACTCATCCCATAAATTTTTTTTAATCCCATACATTTTTTTTATTTGACAGGTAGAGTTATAGACAGTGAGAAAGAGAGACAGAGAGAAAGGTCTTCCTTCCATTGGTTCACTCCCCAAATGGCCGCAACGGCCGACGCTGCGCCGATCCGAAGCCAGGAGCCAGGTGCTTCTCCTGGTCTCCCATGCGGGTGCAGGGACCCAGGCACTTGTGTCATCCTCCACTGCCCTCCCAGGCCACAGCAGAGAGCTGGACTGGAAGAGGAGCAACCGGGACTAGAACCCGGTGCCCGATCCGAAGCCAGGAGCCAGGTGCTTCTCCTGGTCTCCCATGCGGGTGCAGGGACCCAGGCACTTGGGCCATCCTCCACTGCCCTCCCAGGCCACAGCAGAGAGCTGGACTGGAAGAGGAGCAACTGGGACTAGAACCCGGTGCCCGATCCGAAGCCAGGAGCCAGGTGCTTCTCCTGGTCTCCCATGCGGGTGCAGGGACCTAGGCACTTGGGCCATCCTCCACTGCCCTCCCAGGCCACAGCAGAGAGCTGGACTGGAAGAGGAGCAACTGGGACTAGAACCCGGTGCTCATATGGGATGCCGGCACTGCAGGCGGAGGATTAACCAAGTGAGCTGGTGCCGGCCCCCCCATGCATTTTTTAAAAGCCCCCAGATGACTCTAATACACAGACAGAGCTGAAAATCATTGTTTTTAATACTTCATCCAACTCATCTAGGTAAATGTGTACTGGATTACCACCTGGTGGTACCACCTTTATCCACAGTGTCATTATTTTACACTTGCAAGGAGGCTAGCACCCCTGCAAGCCACCAGGGTTATTAACAGAGAAGACCTGGAGGCAACAGGGTGGGCAGTTGTCCTAGCGGTTAGGAAACCCATCCCATATTGGGGTGCGTGGGTTAGAGGACTGGCTCTGCTCCAAATCCTAGCTTCCTGCGAATGTGCACCCTGAGAGGCTCCAGTTGAGTCCCTGCCACCTACACAGGGAAGCCTGGACTAAGTTCCTGCCCCCCAGCCCTGGGGTCTGTGGGCATTTGGGGAGTGAACCAGCAGATGGGCGTTTTCTCTGTCTATTTCTGTCTCTCAAATATAATTTATATTTTTTATTTTTATTTTTTTTTTACTTTTTATAGAAAGAGAAAACAACTTGGAAGCAGGCAAAAATATTTCAAGACAAGGCTCTTCTCTATTAAACTAGAACTCTCTCTCCATTTGTTATGTTAAAAAGGAAGAAAAGGGTGCAGTTGGTGCTACTGCTGCTATGGAAAGGATGTTATGACACTGACAGCATCAGCATCACCACCCCAGGTGGTGCCAGGATTAGAGTCCAGAGACCCCAGGCAAGCTAGGGGCCAGACAGAAACACATGGCATTATTTCCACAGGACACTAAAAAGGCACAAAATCTAGCTCAGGATAAACCTCCTACGTGGATCAGGTCTCTCGTGGATGCATCTTAATTTAATGGAGGGAAATGCCTCCACTGATTTAACTCCTGGTTAAAATGTAGCAGTGGTATCAACTAGCCAGCCCATCTCTGCAAGCAAACGGCCTAAAGCATGTAGGGAACTGGACATTCCATACAAGTTACTTTTAATATTCCACTCTCATAAAGGGAAGAGAAATCAGCAAAGCTTCAGCATTCTCCTAAATGAAAGTAACTGGACTGTTAAAGCCACCAACATTATTATTGGTTGATTCGCTGTCTACCAAATGACATTTCTTTTTCAGATTTAAAGTCTGAGTCTGTATGGCTAGTGTCCATTTTTACTTTGCCTAGAGTGTTTGATATTTAGTAAATATGTTAAACATCATTAGAACTGAGGTTAGCGGGACTGGCGCTGTGGCAAAGTCGGTAAAGCCACAGCCTGCGACATCAGCATCCCGAGTGGGCACCAGTTCTGGACCAGAAAATGGAAGATCTCTCCCTCTCTCTCTGTAACTATGACTTTCAATAATAAATTTAAAAAGAACTGAGATTAGCAACAGGTTCAGCACTCATGTAGAGTTCACAGAGAGTCCAACTAAAAACCCAAGTTAGGCCTAAATCAGTTTCCAGAAGTTAAGTGCTCCTGTCTTTGCATTATTCCAAAAGCTCCCCGCCAAGTTTTTTATTCTGGGAAGGTCATGGATACACTCCCTTCTCACTCGCTCCCCTCTTTTCTGCCTTCTCTTCATCTCATCCCATCTCTCACTTTCTCTTTAAAGGAGCATTTAATCTTTGAGTAGTTAGTATTACTAATAGGTGGCTTGCCATTGTCTATCTTGAGTAATCCTTCCTGAGATGTCTGATTAATTACTAATTAGGAGTTCATGCATTTTTCATCTTTTTGAAATTCCTAATATCCTACAGGGATAGGAAATTTTCTGAGAATAGTACGAGCTGAACAAGGAAAATGCACACATATGGATGACCTCTTCAGCTTTGTTCCATGAGAATGAAGCTGTCTACCTGCTTGCTTTACCAGAGGAAAACGAGTTTCCTACAGTACAGATAGTACATGAACTTCATCCCTCAATCCTGGACTAAAGGAGTCATTATCATCATACTTTCAACATTACATCAAAATTTTAGGTACATACCTTTGCCAATTTAGGTTTCTGGGAGTATTTTGTTAAATTCAACCTAGACAAATTTATAAAGGGTCCATCAGGACTTGTAAGCATGGAGGCCTATGGGGGAAAACAATAGAATAAGGAATCAGAAACTTTCTCTTGAAGCATAAGTTGAGGGTGCACAAAAAGCATAAAGGCAACATAAACAAAAAGAACTCACGTTCAAAAATTTTCCATATAATTCTCTATATAATAATAGTGGAAAATGATGTAACATAATGTTAGGTTACTTTAGTAATATAAGGCTGGGGAAAACAGAAAGAATGTACCGTTCCCAGTCTGACGAATCTTCCAGAAGAGCTGGTGATGGGGCGGGCTGTGTAGGCAGTTCTGGGTGCTTTGATGGCCTGCTCCATAGTGCCTGGCCTTCCACTCTGTGTGCTGGGCCTAAGATAACCTGTAATGGGTCTCCCAGCTTGAGTGACTGGCCTGTGAAGATCATAAGTTGTTGGAGCACAAAGATGAATTAATGAAAGACTCCCACACGGTATGGTCAATATTTAGTGGCAGAGGGTATAAAACCGAAGTGCATACCTTACAGCTTGACTGGGCCCTCCCGATTGACTAGTTCCAGGGAGTTTCAAGGATGTTCCAGGGCCTAGGAGACGAAATGCAAATTCGACTCACATATTACTCATTAATCTGTAAAAACTGTCAGCTAACACAATTTTCACAATTGTAATGGCTTGGTAAAAAAAAAAAAAAAAAAAAAGACATTAACAGCAGGAAATGTATTTTAGAGAAATGTGTTTGAGATTAATATTTAATGAGTACCTATCAAGTTGCTTAAGTTATCACATTTAATTCTCAGAGTAAGTCTATATGACAGGTAGTATTAATCCGTGTAACAAAGGCTTACAGAATTAAGTAAGCAGGCCAACCTATTAGTGGAGCTGGGATTCAAACTCAAGACCAGCAGATCCAATGATGGATCTGTACTGATGATTGAACTGTTTTTCACACAAAATTCTTCCAGTAAAAGATTCCCTCACAATATCTAGAATTTGGATATCTTACATTGAAGAGAGCAAAACAATGGGAAGAAAGATATTTTAACATAAAATATGTATTCTTTTCTCAATTTCCATTTGAAATTTTAAAATAGCTATTACCTTCCAAAACACAGAAATGGCTGAAAACTATAACTAATAAATTACCAGCAAAACCATCATACGTCATGGTAATCATCCAGTACCACTTGTGCCACCACACCTGCAAGCTAGGGACTGGGCCTTTGTGACAATCCCAACAGAATTCACGGCCCAGCATAGCACTTCACCACCCACATCATGTGTTAGAGCAAATCACCTTCAGTTGTAACAATGGAATGACATTTCTAAATGACCTTTATTCGTTCCAATTTTCTAGCATATGTGCCGCCGAAGCGAGCACCTAAATGACCTTTGTTACAGAACCTTTTGGAACGCTTCTGCTGTCTGGATGCTGCCTGCATTTAGATTCCCAGGTAAACAATCTCCTGCCACGTTGAGTAAGTGGTTTAAATATAATACATGTTTAAAAATTCTTTAAATGCATACTATAGCGCTTATTGGAAAACTGAATACATCAATCTCACACCTTAAGTTTAATATAACTGTATTGCATAAGGAAACACTTTCTATAATAAGTAGAAGAGACTCCATCTACTTGAGGGAGTTTTTTCCATGAATATACATGTTTCTTGTGAGTGTGTGTGCAGAAATCCATCCATCTATCCATCCATCTCTATCTATCTTCCTCTTTATGTACAGCACTCGTTCTCCTACTGACATTTCACTAGCTTAACTGACAATCAATACTCACGTGGAACTTGAGCAATAGCATTTTCATCCAAAACCATTTCTGCAATTCCTTCCTGATCTACATCAACTTCATCTACGTATACCATCTCAGTTAGAGCTCGTGCTTTTAATATCCAAGCCGCCTAAAAACCACACATAAACAAAACATATATTAAAGTAGTGTTAGAAATACCACATAGCTTGTAGAAGCTAATCATCCTTTGTTATTATTTCATTTTTCAATAAACATGTTTACCACTTAATATATGAATTTAAAGGGTTATGGCAAAACAATAATACAAGAAGGCAAGGTCATTGGAAATCAAGAAACAACCAATATATCAATTACCTAGTAAATGAAAGGGTATAATTATCAGTAGTCTTCTCACATTCCTTTTTACAAGTAAAAGAGCAAAGCCAGGAGCCAGGAATAAAATCCAGATCTCCTACGTGGGTGGCAGGAGTTCAACTACCTGTGTCATCACTGCTGCCTCCCAGGGTCTGCATTAGCAAGAAGCTGGAAGTCAGGAGCGGGAACCAGGAGTTGAACCTAGGCACTCCAGGGTGGAATGCAGTAATTCCAATGTGCATGTTAATCACTAGGCCAAATGCCCATCCCTTATCAGAGATGTTTCTTAAAAAAAATTTATTTTATATATTTATTTGAAAGTCAGAAATACAGATAGATAAGGTGAGAGAGAAAGATCTCCCACCCACTAATTCACTCCCCAAATGGCCAGGGGTTGGCCAGGCCAAAGCCAGGAGCCAGGAGCTTCTTCCAGGTCTCCCACGCGGTTGCAGTGGCCCAAGGACTTGGGCCATCTTCCACTGCTCCCCCAGGCACATTAGCACATTACTGGATCTGAAGCGGAGCAGCCAGGACTTGAACTGGCATTCATATGGGATGCCGAGCTGCAGACAGGCTTAACCTGCTACACCACAGTGCCAGCCCTCCTTAACAGAAATTTTTACCTCGATGCTTCACTCCAGAACAGAAACAAAGAATAAAGTTTGATGCCTCGAGAAGGATTTGGAGAAAAGTCAACTCTTGAAGCAGCAGAATAGGACTGGCTCTGGAATCTAGTAGCAGCAGCAGGGAAATTGGGCGAGTGGTTAGTAACAGTTAGTATGCCAGGGACCTGGCCATGAAGTAGGCTGAATGAAGAGAGAAACTCCGAGAAGACGAAAGCTTCAGAAGGTCTGTAAAATTCTCACATAAAGAACCCAAGATGCGCTCAGCCATTCAGTCTTTATTTGTTGAACTACTCCTTATTACACAACACAGAATGAAGCTCTGAGACGGAAACACAGCAATATTAAACATGGATCCCAATTTATTCAGGTTCCTGTATATTTAGGTTCACAATACATTTAGGTTCCTAAAGTGAAATTACTTTTGGTTAGATGATTGCTTATTTGGTTTCTACATTTCTGGTTAAGGTTTACTGAATCATTATCAGGTAGCTTGCAACAAAAGGTTTCAAATGTCATGTGAATTGAATGAGTAGAATATGGACTCAAAGAACTAATTTATTTGAAAAAAAATCAATTCCAATTGGAACTGCCTCTACATTGGGAGCTGTTAAAATATAGAAAGAATGAGATTTTCACTCATGAAAGATCAGGAAAATACCAGATCTATACAGCTATCCCTAGGGGTCAAGAAGTCATCACTGGCTTGGGTTAATGGCTTCATTTAATTTCAAAGATGGAAATATGCTATCCTGCTTTATCTTAAATTTCCACAGTTCACACTGCCCTGCAAGTTATCTGATGGCTTCAGTTTTTCAAAAAGGCGTTCTTCGCTCAGCACTCTCCGGTGGACAGGAAGAAGGACTGCAGCATTTTCTGCTCAAACAGTAAAGGGTTGGTCTCCCAGGTTCATTCCCGTATCACTAGGGAGCTCCTAGTGAATGTCAAGTCTAGGGATGCAAAGATAAGTAAACGACAGTCCTAGCTCCAGCTCAAAAGAACGTCAGTGTATTGGCAACACTGCAATAACAAAAATAAGAGACTTTTAAAAAAGCATGCTGGGGCCGGCACTGTGGTGTAGCGGGTAAAGCTGCTACCTGCGAAGCCCTGTTTCGAGTCTTGGCTGCTCCACTTCTGATGCAGCTCCCTGCTAACAGCCTGGGAAAGGCAGCAGAGGACAGCCCGAGTGTTTGGGCTGTTTGTTGCCACCCATGTGGGAGACTCAGATGAAGCTCCTGACTTTGACCTGGCTCAGCTCTGCCTGTTGGGGGCATCTGGAGAGTGAACCAGCACATGGAAGAGCTCTCTCTCACTCATGTACCCGTGTGTGTGTGTGTGTGTGTGTGTGTGCCCCGCTCTCTGTAACTCAAATAAATAAATAGATCTACAAATAATAGTAATAATAAAAGAAGTATACACTAGGACAGAGGGAAGGCAGTCAGTCTGTGGGTGGAGGCCAGAGGGAAAGACAAGAGTTTGGCCCAGGGGCCAAGCAAAGTGGGGAAGCTGGAGACAAAGGCAGGGGCCAGCAGGTGCTGTGCATTTTTACCCTGAAGACGAGGAGCTAATGAAGCTTCAGAATTAGGATTCGGATCTTAGTTAAGGTGAGTTTTTTATAACTATAGTATCACTTACATAGGTGTGTAGTTATCCTGTACACATTCTAATATACTGTCATCTCATGATTCAATCATCATGGTTCTTCACATCCATGCCCCTTCTAACCTTTTAAATATTCAGGAGGTGTAAATTGTTTATATTAAGTTAAACAAAACACAGGAAAGTAAATCCATAATCTCTCCCCACCAAATGAAAAAATCTAAGACAAACACCAACTTAAAAAAATACTACTTAAGAATCCATGTTTTCAAAAAGATACATTATATATTTTTTAAACTTCTACAATCTAAGTCATAAGCTATATAAATAACACTGTGAATTTTTGATACCTGAAGACATACAATAAAACCTACTTAAGCCTTTATTCAATTTTAAATTTAATCAGTTTGTGAAAATCAATTTTCCTGACTTTATTCCTGTCCTAACCAAAAATAACCTTGAAAATCACATATCACTGCTTGATTAAACATCAGACTGTATTCAAAGAACTGCTCCTGGCAATGTGAATAATTCTTGAGATTTTAATGAAAGCAGCAGATGGGGCTTTGGCTTTTAAAAATTAATATATTTTTTAAATTTTGGAAATGAGCCAAGTATATTTTACAGTCCTAAAATCCTCTGCCTTTTTTAAAAAAAACTAATCAGTGATTAAAAATAAAATGTATAACAAAGCATACAGTAATCCCAAACAATTCCTTGAATATGAATAAAACCATCAGTTTGTTTTATGAGATACATTTAACTTATTACTAAATGGCAGGTCACACGGTTTAAAAAAATAATTGTTTATGTAAATGCATTTGAGTATATATTATAAGTACTGTAAAATCAATAAAAATAAGGATATATACTTAGAAATTTTTAAGGAAAAGGCATAGGTTCTTTCAAATTAAATGAATAATTCATCCTATCAATTATTTCCCTTTATGTCTATGAAACAGAATCTCTCATCTCATCTCATTGACCTATATTACTCTTAAGGCAAATACTGTCAGCTAACATCAGAAAAATATTAACTTACTTGACCTACCTTCTTTGAGGTTAATCCAGTTTTAATCATGAAAGGAACTCATGAGGAAGCAAAAGCTCCACTGACTGAGCACAACATGTTTAAATTATTATGTTCCTCCTAACATAGAATGCAAGACCAGTAGTTTAAGGCACGTAACACATTTGTTAGGTTATTAGAAAAAGGCTATCAAAAGAACAGGCTGTCAGACCTGATTTAGACATCATAAGAATCAGCAGCATTTGATACTCTGCCTATTCTACGAAAATAAAAAATGTAGGTGCAATATTGACTGTTATTATAAAGCCTCATTTATTTTGCAGTTGTAAAAATGTGCAAAAAAGAAGAAATCAAAAAACTGTGAAGATGAGTTTGCAGAGTCCAGACAGCCTTATTCCGCTTTAGATCACTCCCGGGGGATGACTGAGTCTGTAGTCACAAAATGGGAAAGGAATGCTACATACAGATTCTTCACGAAGCTCCTGAACTTTATGCCACTTACAGTTCTTCAGCAATGACCACAACTACAAGTTATTGATGTTTTCATTTAATTTTTATAAGTCTCCAAAAATGAAAACACAAGCCACATTACTTTATTTAAAATTTAGATTCTTCTTGAACTATTTGTACATACATCATGTAAAAACAAAGACTTTCCCCATCTATCAGTGTGTAAATCAAGATTACAAACACTCAAATGACAAATGCCATCCTTTTAAAGAACAGAGTGCCACATTTTAGCCTATTTACAGCATTTGTTTAATATTACAGAGATTGCCCTAAGATTACTTTATAAATTGCTTTCTGGTCCAAAAGATTTGATGATTACTCATATGAATCCCCTATGAAATTCAAATTGCTTATTTATCTAAAAATCCCCATTAACATTCTTTGTCACTCGGCAGTGCAACACTCAAGCTTGCTGATCTACAGCTCTCTAAAAGCCCTGGAAACCTTCCTGGGTTAAAAGTTTCCCTGGTCCAGTGTCCATAACCATGTCTCCCCTCCCAGGGCTTCCTCCCCGCTCACTCCCTTGTGGCTTAGCCAGTTGGCAAGTCTCTCTAGCTGCCTGCCATCTCTAACCAAGTTGATTTGTTTCCTCTCTGCTGCAGGCTCCTCTCTCCTAGGGTTGCCAGTTGAGTTCAATCTAAGACCTTCCTGAGCAGAGTTGGACCCGTCAAGACCTACTATCCAATCCATCATTGTCCTTCCAGACACCTCTGGCTTTGCTGGCTCTCAGCTACCTTTCCAAGCCCAGGGTTCCCCTTACACTTTAATTTTTTCTCATCCTTGTGGTCAGCTTTGGTCATTTCTATTTGAGTGCCAAGTCTTAATGAGTAAAGTGCATCAGTTCTACAAGACTATCCATACGAATAAATACAAATACAAAAACTGCTTATGTCTGTTTACATAAGAAGGCACAGAATGGGAGATATGCCTAATTTCATAACACTACAGCACATTTTCTAATCTACAGCAACAACTAAGCAAGTATTCTCTAAATTAAAGGTTGCAGCTAAACCTTTACCTGAGACACTGGCAATTCGGGATCTGGTTCCTGGAAAGCATTAAGAAGGCAGTAAACATTTTTTAAGAAATTCAGTTTCTAAAATTAAAAGTCTTAATGACTATTTGTAGGTAAAATTTTAACTCATGCAATACTTTAATCTTTTTCTACAAATGCTCTTAAGAGTTCTGTAAAACCAATATACATCGAAGAATGCTAGATTTTCTATGGCCAGAAAAGTCTAATTAATCTAACTTCATTCAGAGCACAAACAGAAGATATTTCAACTTCTTGTTTAATGAAAACACATTATCTCAGAAATTAAGAATAATTTTAAAACACTACCAAGGAATCATTTCCTTATATTCAAAAACAAGTTCATGATATTTAAACATTCAGACTTTAATCACTTAAGGGAAAAGAAAATTTAAATAATATAGGCCTTTCTATTCCACACAAATATAATGGGATTGGTAGCTGACAATAAGAAATTAATTCTGGGGCTAGCACTGGGTAAAGCTGCCACCTGTGACACTGGCATCTCATATGGACACCAATTCGATCCTGGCTGTGCCACTTCCAACCCAACTCCCTGCTAATGGCCTGGGAAAGGAGCAGAGGATAGTCCAGGTCCTTGGATCTCTACCCCTACACCCACATGACCTGGGCCATCTTCCTCTGCTTTCCCAGGCCATTGGCAGGGAGCCGGATCAGAAGTGGACCAGCCAACACTCAAACTGGCATCCCAAGAAATTAATTCTAATAGTAATGTCCTTTAAGAAATTTGTATAGACCACATAGTCTCCATTAGTGCCAGATACTGATAAACTTAAGTATCTGATTTTTTCCTCTCCAAATTAAACAGAAATCTATTGGTTAAAAAAAAAAAAAAAAAACAAACTCAGATTTACAACCTAATTATAAAATATTTACACTTACATTGCTAGTCAGCAGCAACTGTTGAGCACTTAATCTCTATCCTATTTTATTGGGGGAAACTATGAAGAAACAGAAAAGGGGTGCAGCAGAGGGACGCCTGCTTTCTACAGCTCAAAAGTCCAAAGAAGGGGCCAGCACTGTGGCGTAGCAGGTGAAGCCACCACCTGCAGTGCTGGCATCCCATACGGGTGCTGGATCGAGTCTCAGCTGCTTTGCTTCCAATCCAGCCCTTTGTTATGGCCTGGGAAAGCAGTGGAAAATGGCCCAAGTCCTTGGGCCCCTACACCTGCGTGTAGGAGGAGGCTCCAACTCCTGGCTTCCAACAGGCCCAGCTCCAGCTGTTGAGGCCATTTGGGGAGAGAATCAGTGGATGAAAGAGTTCTCTTTCTCTCTTTCTGCCTCTTTGTAACTCTGCCTTTCAAATAAATGAAGTTTTTTTTAATATATAAAAAAAGTCCAAAAAAGAATACCCCAATTTTTTATGGAATATATTCATATTTTATCTTCACAAGCAATATAAAAACCATCTGGTCACCATGTAAGGATAAGCAATTTATGCAGCATGACACATGGTAGGGACATGACAGGGAAAGGCTAAGCTAGGTTATAAAGTGAGGGCACAACCAGCATTGCGATGCAATAGGTTAAACCAACACCTGCGATGCCCGCATCCCATATGCATGCTGGTTGCTCCACTTCCCATCCAGCTCCCTGCCAATGTGCCCACCCTGGGAAGGCAGTGGATGATGACCCAAGTACTTGGGCCCCTTGCACCCATGTGGAAGACCTGGATGGAGTTCCGGGTTCCTGGCTTCTGCCTGGCCCAGGCCCTGATGTTGTAGTCATTTGGGAAGTGGTAGAACTGGCAGATGGAAGATATCTTTCTCTGCCTCTCCCTCTCTCTAAATATAACTCTTTCAAATAAATAAAACAAATCTTAAAAAAAAAAAAAAAAAAAAGGCACCAGAGAATGGGATATAGCAATGATCTAGCAATCGGCTGACCAAAATACAAAATAGCATCTAGAAAACACACAGCAACTGGAACTCTTCAACTCCAGTGTACGTAAGGACCTAGGGAAAGTACAGATTTCCTAAACGTTATCATACTTAAGGACACACAAACAGGAAGTAAAATGGCAGATGAAAGAGGTAACTCTTTGTCTTCTTTCTTCTATTTGTTCGTATCCATGTCTGTATGACCCATTATCTAATGAGTCTCCTAACAACTATCTGAGGGAAGCAGAGGACACAAATTTATAGATATTTGGTAATGTGTTCAAGGTCACACAATAGTTGAGAGGAGAAAGAGCTCCTGCCAGTGCCTCCTGGAGGTAAAAAGTGAATTGGAAACAATAAGGCAGGATTGAAACTTAAAGTTTAGGAGAGATACAAATCCAAGAGACAAGTTTACCAGAGGTGATGAAAACAGTTGAAGGAGATAGAAGCTACTGACAAGAAGTAAAAGATGATACTGTTATTCTGCCAAGGGCAGGTTCACAGTGATCTTTGCCATCTATAAGTCTTGTTCTTCTGCCTCTAAGGAATATATTTACTATTGATCATGCAGGTGGATAGCATGCAGGGAAATGATGTGAAATGAGAAGGTCAGAGAAGAAAATGACAGACCCACACAGTAAGGAGATGCAGAGACAGGCAAGGGTCGTGAGAATGGAAGACAGAGGAATAAATGGGCTTAAGGCAGAGAACACATTAATTTCACAACATTCTGGCATCCCTGGCACCCACCTAGGTGCTGAATACACTCTATGGTGGAAGACACATAAATAAGTAACAACACAATGTGTTAAATAACACGTTCTGATTGTGGACAAATGATAGACACTTTATTGTCAACTCCACTTTACAAATGAATATTCTAAGGTCAAGGTGTAGAGTTGGTATCTGAACCCAGACACTCTGGGTTAAGGGTGTGCACTTTTTTGAGTCTGTGAGTTGATAGTAAGAGTGGAAAGCACTCTCATGTGGGCTCTGGGGAGACCAAGGACAGCCCTGGCTCATGTGCAGATCTCAAGCACAAGATTAAGAAAGAGTGAGAAGGTTTTAACTTTGAGATAAGGAAAAATTCTTCTATAAAAAATCACCTAGGGGGGCCAGTGCTGTGGTGTAGCAAGTAAAGCCATCCCATATAGGCACCAGTTTGAGTACCAGCTGCTCCATTTCCGATCCAGCTCTCTGCTATGGCCTGGGAAAGCAGTAGAAGATGGTCCAAGTCCTTGGGCCTCTGCACCTGTGTGGGAAACCCAAAAGAGGCTCCCGGCTCCTGGCTTCAGCTTGGCACAGCTCCTACCACTGCGGCCATTTGGGGAGTAAACCAGTGGATGGAAGACCTCTCTCTCTCTCTCTCTCTCTCTGCCTCTGCCTCTGCCTCTCTGTAACTTTACCTTTCAAATAAATAAATCTTTTTTTTTTTTTTTAAATCACCTAGGCCTTCATCTTTGGGCCACTCTCAATTACAGTTCTGTGACTTAAATCAATCCACCCATATAGGGAACCGCAAGTTAGTTCACTTGGCCTTTCCAACACTGTGGATATCAACACCACTGAGCAGATATTGAAACTGATATTCAGGGAGCTACTTAGCTGTGTGACATGGAACAAATCATGCAATCTTTATCACCCTCCCAAGTTGAAGCAAAAGTGCCTACTTTCTAGGATAGTTCTAAGGACTCACAATAAAATCTTCCATTTTAAAGAACACAATTTGCAGAGTTCTTTCATATATACATTATACTTGACTAAGCATAAGGTTAACAGAGAGGCACCAATCCACGTATTACTCCCCTTTTCAGAACTCAGAACTGATTCTCAGTTCCTGCAGGTCAAGTTAAAAGTAGCCTCCAAGCCTCCTTCAAGGTGGTAACAGGACACAGTAAGCAGAGGGCCACTGCCTAGAACCACCGAAAGCTCACTAGCACCAACCTCAGTTCCTAACAGTTTGCTTCCTCCCTTCCCCTCCAGGGTATATAGCTTTCTCTTGGGCTGCTATTATAACTTCAGAGAAATAAATCTCCAGATAATTCTCAATGCAACTTGCTAATTGTCACCAACACTTCTTCGGCTAATCAGTCGACCCAGCACCATTTCAAACTGCCAAGTTGTTATTCAGGATTTAGTAAGAACAGGAAAGAAAAAAGTACAAGATAACAGAGAAATGATGGATTTTGAAAGACTGGGGAGATCAAGTGACCAAGCAGCCAAGGGGGATTGTAATCTGTATAATTCAGAGCACAAATTCACAAAATGAACTAACCCCACAGTTTATGGAATCAAAGCATTAGGTCTAAGTCTCCATGGCCCCAAGGAGGAAACCAATTAGATAATCACACAGAAAGATGTGTTTTGGCTTGGATCACCAGAACACTGTCTCAAACAACTTCTGACATACAGCTCACTGGGCAACCCTGGTCCCTATTCTTCATCGAAGCCAGTGGCCTTCAGCCTTTTCTCTACCTTCAAACCATTTCCAACAGCAACAACACCATCTTTTCTTTGACATCTCTCAGCATAAGCAGACACTGCAGGCAGAGGAGGAGAATGTGAAGTAGAAAGTCTCCCATTCCCATTCTGATATAAAATTAAAGCTCTCATCCCCAGAATCACTGATTTTAATAATCAAAAAATCTGCCAGAAACCTACCCTGTTAATGAAAGCACACTGTCATTTAACAACTCCATTGCCTGAGAAATGTCCATGTTTTATGAACTGTTTCATTATAATGGAGCTAAAAAAAAAATCAGGACTGGTTTTAAAGCCATGAATCTGGCATATGGAACACAAAGAACAGTAATCAGATTAAGCAACTAATCAGGATGATCAACATGAGTTGCAGAAGCAAGCACTCCCTCTAGGTCACACTGCTGTCTGGAGGACTGTTTTGCATTTGTTCCTTTTACATCTTGCAACTTCTAATCACTGCTTCAATCACGATTTAAACAACATTTGGGGAAAAAAACACAATGCTTTGCTATGAAACAGTTATTCTTGCTGTATTAAATCAAGAAAGGGGGAAACTATAATAAATTAACCAGTTATCACTCTTTGTTCTTAATATCTGAACATTAATACCATCCACACTGAGAGACCCTGCCCTCTGCCCCTTACCTATCTGTGCCTGGGATTAGACAGTTCAGAAGCCATGTGTTCCAGGAACCCTTCCCCATTACCAAATGCCATATCATTATATTCAACCTACCCTCTAGTCCTTTTATAGATACATAAAATATATTTAAGAAAATATCTCATAAAATGTATCTAGGAAAATCTGCTGCTTCATCATGTATCATTCCTCTCTGGCTAACTTGACTATTCTGACTTTAGCAAGAGGCAAAAATAAGTAAGATCCTGACAACCTAATGGAAAATATGAGGCATTAATGAAAGACTGCTTATGGTACAACATCAGAATAATATCCCACAGAAGATAAATAAACATAGATGAAATAGCCTTATGGGTGGGCTTCATCTCAAAAGGCTGATGTATCAAGGACCCAAATGTTATCTGTTTGAAGCTCCCTAGACCAGCTTATAAGAAGATTAACAAATATCAAACCATTTTAGAGGATCTCTGCATCTGGGAGAAAAACAAGCAAAAACAAAAACAGTTAAAAAGGAATATGTTCTTATGTTTGGAGGATAAGAAAAGGCAAGAGCAAAAATGAATCCATTTGGCACTCAGAAGAAATACTTTAATTTCCTTGTTTTTCCATGTGTCCAGGCACCACTTCCAAGTCACTTACTCCTAATTGGTGGCACACAAATAGTCATTAGAACTGTACTTGAAAATCTGTAAGTCGCAATAAATGCCCATGAGGCTAAGAGTACATGAAGATAAACCAGCTCACAGTGGAGCTGAATACCATCTGCTCCTGCTCTCATCACCTCTGTTAGCTCTCCATAGATTATAAATCCCTCCTATCAGTGTCCAGTGAGAGGACTACACAAAATATCAGTGACAAAAACTGCTGCTATGCAGAATTTCTAAATCCACTTTTAAAAACTGACCCTTCAAACAAGAAACAAAGTAAGAATGCCCAGAGGAGAAGCTATTTGACCTAGCAGTTAAACTGTTACTTGGGATGCTTACATCCCATAACAGAGTGTCTGGGTTCAAGTCAAAGCTCTGGTCCAGATTCCAGCTTCCTGAAAATGAGCAGTCAGAGAGGCAGCAGGTGGTAGCTCCAGTAGGTGGGTCCCTGCTACCAACGTGGGAGACCCAGACTGAGTTCCTGGCTCCTGGTTTTGGCCTGGCCAAGCCTTGGCCATTGCAGGTATCTGGGGAGCAAACCAACATATGGGAGCTTTCTCTGCCTCTGATGAGAGCCCTCACATGCCAGACTCCATAACAGGTGCTAAGATGCCACACAGCTTTGCCATCCTGAATTCATATTCTAAGCAAAGAGAATTTTCAAGCTTTTAGTAAGAGACCTTTTTTAATCTTCTGAAAGCTCTTCATTAATTATATCAACACTATGATAAATATTGTTTTTAAATACTTTTTCAGAAAAAGGCAGGGGACCAGTGCTGTGGCACAGTGGGTTAATCCTCAACCTGTGGTGCTGGCATCCCATATGGGCACTGGTTCAGGTCCCAGCTGCTCCACTTCCAATCAAGCTCTCTGTTATGGTCTGGGAAAGCAGTAGATAACCCAAGTCATTGGGCCCCGGCGCCCATATAGGAGACCTGGAGGAAGCTCCAGGCTCCTGGCTGCAGATTGGCACAGCTCCAGCCATTGTGACCATCTGGGGAGTGAACCAGTAGATGGAGGACTTCTCTCTCTCTCTCTGCCTCTGCCTCTGCCTCTCTGTAACTCTGCCTTTCAAATAGATTAAATAAATCTAAAAAAAAAAAAAAAAAAATCAGGGAGGACTCGACTTTCGCACTTTGCAGAGTTTTTAATCTAAGTACACAGATAGGTCAAAATTCTTAGTACACTTAGCTGAAATCCTGAAAAGGCACAATAGATGGGAAAACGTACCAGGCAAAGTTCAGAAACAGCTGAAACAAAAGGCTGCGGAATAGCCAAAGCAGCAGCATACTGCATACACAGACAAAGGGAAGAGGCTTACTAGCTTTGTAATTTTGGACATTTATTTTACTTTGCACTTCCTAGTGCTCAATCTGTAAAATGAGCAAAACAGGGGCCGATGCTGTGGCTCAGCAGGTTAAAGCCCCGGTCTGCACAGCCAGCATCCCATATGGGCACCGGTTCAAGTCCTGGCTGCTCCACTTCTGATCCAGCTCTCTGCTATGGCCTGGGAAAGCAGTAGAAAATGGCCCAAGTCCTTGGGTCCTTGCACCCAAGTGGAAGACCTGGAGGAATCTCCTGGTTCCTGGCTTCAGATTGGTGCAGCTCTGACCATTGCAGCCATCTGGGGAGTGAACCAATGAATAGAAGACCTTTCCCTCTCTCTCTGCCTCTCTGTAACTCTGCCTTTCAAATAAAATAAATCTTTAAAAAAAAACTTTAAAAATGTTTAAAAATGAGCAAAACAGTAATCAACTTCATAAGATAGTTGAAGATTAAATAACATATAAAATTCATTGTACCAAACCTGAAACAGTATATATATGTACTCAATACATGTTAGCTATTATTTTTGTTATACTTTGCAAGGTTAGTCTAAGCATCACAATTGATGCTTGGCAAGCAGCAAGCACGTTGTCATAAAAAGTCATTGAAATGAACACAGACGTACTGATCATGCTGCCTAGCACAAACAAAATATCAGTTCATAAATGCTGTATAGAATGTCACTGTACACTGTAGATTATAGAGCCATCACCATTAAATACACTCCTGCCTTGCCCACAACATTTCCCAAAGTGACATCTCCCCAGGAAAACATTGAAGGTATCTGACTTTTGCCCTAGGCTAAATAAACAGAATCAGTAGTCAGATAAATTTCAGAACTATCAGATTAGTCAAAAATGGGCAAAAAAAATTGGGTTCTGCTTATTAAAAAAAAAAAAAAAACTTCTAGGAGCCTTTGGTGTGCATCTTGCTTCTCTACAAAGGGAATGTACGTTGCCCAAAAGCATTTAATGAGAAAGATTCCTTTCACTGAGCAGCTCTTGGGACCAGCGTTCTGGGCAACACAGAATGAAAACTACCCCAACTTGATGGAAGAATGGAAACAGCACAAACCATTGTGCCTACACAATGCCTGGTACAGAGATTAAACAGATTAAGGGGTCTAAGTTTTTTCGTGGTTCCAAACATATTTGATCAGGGATTTGATTTTTTTTTTTTTTTTAGCAGCACCAATGGCACTACTGTGCTGAGACACACACCTGGAAAAATGCTTGTCTACAGAAACATAGTCTTATTCAGAAATATGAACGAACGAACACAAACAGAACTTAGCTCGCCATCCTCACCAAGGGGGTTGCGCTAGGGGAGCTGTGCCGTCTCAAAGAGAAAGGTTCCCCTCCACAGGTTATGGTCCATCTGTTTGCTGGGAACTAAAGCAGAACCTAGTAACAACGTTCACACCCAGGCCTCTGCTTTTGCAACTCCCCTCCATTTTCCCTTTTTTTCATACATCTCCAAGGCAACACCACTAGAGAAAAAGCTGGGGGACCAGAATTATATCAGAATATTCTGCATTGAGTAGAAGCACGGGTATACTGCCACTGTTCTACTCCTTGTCTCCATTTTCCCCTTTTTTTGCTTCTTCCAGGATCTGCCCGTCCTTATCTCTCACGGGTGGTATATTAGTATATTAGATATTAGTATATTAGCTTGTCACTATCACTGCAGCTCTAGCTCTCTTCCAATCATTTCCATTACTTCTTTTAAGGAAACTTTCTTTCTCATCCCTCCCTCCCACCATGATAACATCCCTGGCTCAGGTAATTATGTAATAATAAATGTACCTTTTCCCCTCCTAGACTCTCATTCCTCTAACCTGGCCATTGGCCTCGAGCTGCACTCGTGGCCCCAAAAGCAGCCGCTTTGGACAACTGTTTAAAGATGAGACACCAGAATCACACGTCTGATCCAAGAGAAAAAAAAAAAAAGGCAACTATGTTAACAGGGAGTGGAGGAGCCACAAATCTGTGTTTACACATCTTTGTAAAGAAATTAACAAAGCACACGCTGAGAACTTAAGAGTCCATCGACAGGCAAGTACAAATGGGTTATGAAGGTCTCTCATCAACGGGAAATGCAGGGTTCTAACTCTGGGACACTTGGAGGGAAGGAAGCCGAAGTTTGCGGACCGGGCGGTCAGCGCCCCGAACTCGTGACCCGCCCGCCACGGCTGCACGGAGCCTCGCTCCCGGTGGCTTGCGGGCCTTAGGCCAGGCTAGCCTTGGGCCTTCCTCCCCATACTCCCTACCCGGGGACACGGGCATCCCCCAGAGCCCTCAGCCTCACGGCTTAGGTATCTGCAGGCTGACAACATCCAGCCGGTACCTGGTCATAAGGGGACTTCTCCAGCACCTGCGTGCACAGATCGGCGCAGAGCTGGAACTTCCTGCGCCTGAAATAGCTCCAGGCCAGGAGCAGCGGCTCCATCTCCGAGCCCATGGCGGCGCAGGGCTGCCGGCGAAGGACCGGAGCCGGGGCCAGGGAGGGCGGTGGGCAGGGAGGCAGGGGCCGGCGGCGCCGGGCTCTACCCGGCAACGCGCGGCGACGGGGCCTTGCCGGAGAGGTGCCTGTGTCGCGCCTGACAACAGAAAAAAGGAGCACCCACCGAGAGCGGAATTCAGCTACGGGGATTGCCAAAAGTTGGCTGCAAAGGAAAAAAAATGTGTAATTGTGAAGGTCATTGATTTCGAGAAGGCGCAAAGAGGCTAAACAATGAGGCAGTGACTTAGACACCTATGCCTGGGGGGGTCCTCCACCCCCTCTGGAGGCGCCGTTGCCTAGCAGCCTGTACGCGGGCCAGGACGGTCTGGGAGTCGAGTCTTCGTCCCACTCCTCCGGTTCGCACTTCCCGATGCCTCTCACCCTTCCCTCTCTAGAAACAAACGTGTTAACAGCTTCTTCGAGACCCTAGGTTTTAAGTGCTAGAACTCTGCAGTGTGTGTCTCCGGGTCAACCTCACCGGATCGCAATGTCCGAATTGCGCGGGACTGTGGCGATCGCAAGGTGCAGCCCATTCATTTTACAGGGAGACCGATCTGGGCTCAGCGAGATGGTTTCTCTAGAGTCTCGTGGAGGCAGGCGGCTGGAGCTGTGATCTGGGTGACTGCAGGCTGTTCGTACCATTTATTAATTCGGCGATGCATAGAGTCTGGATTTTAATTTTTTCTTTTTTTGCCAAGTAGATAATGTATGCAAAAACATTTTTAAAGGAGCTCTGTGAAACACTGTTTCCAAGCACTTGCTGTTTGCCACTGTTAGTTTACTTGTGCCGGAGTGAGTTCTTGAGGCGCGGCTGACTTCCCTCCAAGGATTTACGCAGTTGACAAATATTTTTTAAGGTAATGGTTATGAGGAGAAAAGTGTGACCGTGGCTAATCCACGTAGATTTCATTATGGAAGTCTCGGGATCTTTTTTCCTTGCCTCACACTGGGAGGGGTAGGAGAGAAAAAAACCCAATACTGCATAACTTTCTGGTCAGGTCTAAATCTCCTTTGTAGATTAAAAACCAGAAGAATTGGCAACACTCTTAGCAAAGAAAAATCACAATTGTCTCAAACCACTAGGGTGCCATAACACACACCTTATATTTAATCCATATAGTTTATATATATATAAATGAAACTCATTTCTAAATATAGAAATGGATTGTGAGGGTTTTTTTTTTTTCTACTTTTCAAAGCAGTCTTTCCCGAATTTTCTTCCTACAGGAATGTGTATCACAATCCATCTATTTGTCTTTCCCTGGAAGTGCTTCTAGAAATGTAATCTGTCAAAAGGACCTAAGTCAGCCGCCTACTGTGGGGCTCGGGTTATTAGGAAGATCTGTGCTGGAGATCAACAATTGGGCTAAGTATTTCACAGGATCACTTTGTGCTCTGGCACAATGAAAGCAGATTCCTGTGTGAGTGATTTTCAACCCTGGCTCCCTTTAAGACGGGTATTTTAAATAAACATTTTAGATTCACGGAAAAGTTGCTAGTACAGAAAGTTCCCGTGTACTCCTCACTCAGGTGTCCCTATTGTCGACATCTCAAATTATCATGGTGCATTTGTCACAACTAAGAAATCAATGCTGATACATTGCTATCAACTAAACCTCAGTCTATTTGGGTTTCAGTAGTTTTCTATCAAAACCTCTTCCGCTCCAGGAGCTCCCTGAAGATACCACATTCCATTCCATCATCGTCTCCCTCACCTCCTGACAACTCAAGACTGTTTACGATGACCATGACAGGTTTGAGAGTACCAGTGAGGTATTTTGTAGAATGGCTGAGAGTTCCCTTAAATGACAGATGCCCAAATTCTCTCCCTAAAGATGCTGACTTAAATGATTTCAGATAAAGCTGGGTCATCAGTTTTGCTTCGTTTTTGTTTTTAAGTTTCCCAAGTTAGTCTAACAAGGCAGCCAGGACTTAACCATTATGTTTGAGTTCTAAATATTGAGATTATTGCCAACTTCCTAGATAAAAGCAAAATTCTGATAACTGAGAAAATAAGCATTCAAATAAATTCATAAATGTGGAACAAAAAAGGCATTGAAATACTTCAGAACATTTAATTCATATTAGCATCTTTCAGGAAACTGATAATTTTTTTCTTTCTTTCACAAGTCAAATGGGGTGGGGGCAGACACTTGGCCTAGCAGTTAAGACGCCCGTTGGGGTGCCACATCCCATATAGGATGTCCTAGGTTTGAGTTCCAGCTCTGCTCTCAATTCCAGCTTCCTGCTGATGCAGGGAGCTGGGAGGCCGCAGGTGATGGCTCAAAGGGTTGTGTCCTACCACCCACTTGAAAGACAACGATTTCTGGCTTCCAGCTTCGTTGAGGGCATCTGGAGAGTGAACCAGCGGATGGGAGGCCTTAAAAAATATAAATAAGACCGATGTGGTGATGTGGAAAAATATATATTAATAAAAAATTTTTGAAGTCAATTCTGTGAAAATTGTGGACTGTTTCAAAAACTGAATCATGTTAAGCACGTCACATTTTATAAATGTTTATTTGGTTTTATGATTTTATAAAAATTTTGTTACTTTTTTTTTAAAGATTTATTACTTGTTTGACAGAGTTATGGAGAGAGAGGTAGAGACAGAGAGAGAGGTATCCATCCGCTGGTTCACTCCCCAGATAGCTGCAATGGCCGGAGCCGTGCCGATCCGAAGCCAGGAGCCAGGAGCTTTTTCTGGGTCTCCCACGTGGGTGCAGGGGCTCAAGGACTTGGGCCATCTTCTACTGCTTTCCCAGGCCATAACAGAGAGTTGGATCAGAAGTGGAGCAGCCAGGACTAGAACCGGCCCCAAGCCAGGGCGTTAACCCGCTGCGCCATAGATTTTGTTACATTTTTATCATTCCCAATTAATGAAACAAAACCATTATTGAAAAAATAAAAGTTACTCCAGTAATAGGAAGAACAGTAGATGTGACAATTCGTAGTAAAGGGGCTACACAGGAATTACTGGGCTGGTGACACCAGCATTCATATGGGTGCCGGTTCTAATCCTGGCTGCTCCACTTCTGATTCAGCTCCCTGCTGATGCACCTGGGAAAGAAGTGGAAGACGGATCAAGTATCTGGGCCATATGGGAGACTCGACTGGAGTTCTAGGCTCCTGGCTTCGCACTGGCCGTTGTGGCCATTTGGAAAATGAACCAGTAGATTGAAGATCTCTGTCTCTCTCTCTCTCTCTCCCTATCTCTATCTCTGTGTGTGTGTGTGTGTGTCTCCCTCTTTCTGTAGCTCTGCTTTTCAAATAAATAAATCTTTTATAAAAAAAAGAATAGGATCGTTTTCCTACTGGAGAAAATGATGTGTAGAGAAACAACTTAATCCCTGGGAAAGGGTCAGTTTCACAATCAGAATAAGATCTCAGTTCATCGATCCTTATCATTCACTCTCCAGCAACTAGATATCTCTTTAGGTTAATCAGGTTTAAAATCAAATACCTGCAGCAGGCATTTAGCCTCATGCTGAAGTCCCTCCTTTCTCATATCGAAATGCCCAGGTTCATTTCCTGGCTGCAGCTCCAGCTCGACTTCAGCTTCCTATCAGTGCAGACTCCAGGAGGCACCGGTCATGGATCCAGTAATCAGGTTCCTGCCATCCCCGTGGGAGACTTGGATTGCATCTCCAGCTCCTGGATCTGGCCTCAACACAGCCCCATCTATTTCAGGTAATCAACAAGAGAACCAGCAAATGAGAACACTCCCCCCACCCACCTTCAAATAAATACAATTAAGATAATGTGCCTTTAAATGCCAAGGTTAAATTTTCTTAAAAGTTAAGTTGAAATTATTCAGGATATTTAACATAACCCAAAAGCAAAACAAATAGGTATAAAATGGGATATTGTCCTATACAACAAGCGTTTGTCCAAGCCTTTTGATAAGAAGGTGGAGGTGAACAGGAGACAGGTACGACTCCAACAGTACTTATACATAAAAAGAAGGTAGTGGGAAAGAGCATTTACAAGCTGTGTTTTGTTAAATTAGGAATTAGTATAAAACAGTGATGAAAATATACCATGCACTGGTTGTAGGGGTTTGGGGGAAAGGGATATAATGACCTCATGCCTCAGAGTCTTCATTCAGAATGTAATATGCATTTGCTGTATGATTTAAGGATTAAAATTCTACATTAAAAAAACAAGCAAGATGGATGAAACTCATAAAAAATATTAAGTACAGGCACTAAGAGGGATAAAGACACCAGATTGAAAACAGTCCCTATCAGAAAAACATGAATTCAGCTAAAATTGAGGCAGGAACAAACATCAAATTTATGTTGAAGCTTAGGTGGAAGAATGGGAAAATCACTGATGCTTTACAAAAAGTTTATGGGAACAATGCCCCAAGTAAATCATCAGTCTACAAATGGACAGCTCATTTTAAGAAGGGATGAAATGGGGCCGGCACTGTAGCATAGCTGGTAAAGCTGCCACTTGCAGTGCCGGCATCCCATATGGGCACTGGTTCATCTCCCGGCTGCTCCACTTCTGATCCAGCTCTCTGCTATGTAGAGATGGCCCAAGTCCTTGGGCCCTTGCACCCATGTGGGAGACCTAGAAGAAGCTCCTGGCTCCTGACTTAGGATCAGTGCAGCTCCAGCTGTTGGGGCCAATTGGAGAGTGAACCAGCAGAAGGAAGACCTCTCTCTCTGCCTCTCCTTCTCTTTCTGTGTAATTATTTCAGATAAAATAAATAAATCTTTAAAAAAAAAAAAAAGGATGAGATGCTGTTGAAAAATGAAACCCATAGACCATCCATATAAAAGTGTCAGAAAAAAATAATTTTGTACATGCCATAAATGAAAAAAGACAGTTGATAAACAGCAGAAATAATAGCCAATACCACAGATAGCTCAGTGGGTTAAACTTAACAATCTTGATCGAAACAACTGTAGCAACCTTTCTGCTCAACCAGTGCCAACACTGTTGTGCCCAGATCAGCTGCAGACAAGACAAGAACTTCGAATGGAAATGTTAAACAAGAGAGATCAATATTTTGAGGCATTTCTACAAATAACTGAAATAGGAGATGAAACACAGCTTTATTTGTATGATCCTGAACACAAAGCAAAATCAATGGCTTACAGAGAGGTAGAAGTGGTTCAGTCAAAATAAAAGTGGATGGGTCAAGCACAAATGTCATGGCACAGTTTTCAGGGATGCTAAAGCATTTTGTTTGTTGACTTTCTGGAGGGCCAGTGAACAACAACATACTTATTATAAGTGCTTGGAGAAAGATATCCAGGCTGGTACCTTGGCTCACTTGGCTAATCCTCTGCCTGTGGCACTGGCACTCTGGGTTCTAGTCCCGGTTGGGGCACCGGATTATGTCCCGGTTGCTCCTCTTCCAGTCCAGCTCTCTGCTGTGGCCCGGGAAGGCAGTGAGGATGGCCAAAGTCCTTGGGCCCTGCACCCGCATCAGAGACCAGGAGGAAGCACTTGGCTCCTGGCTTCGGATCTGCGCAGTGCACCAGCTGTGGCAGCCATTTTGGGGGTGAACCAACGGAAGGAAGACCTTTCTCTCTGTCTCTCTCACTGTCCAACTCTGCCTGTCCAAAAAAAAAAAAAAAAAGATATCCAAAGCTATAGAAAGAAAAATGCCCAAGAAATGTTTGCCAGATCCTTTCCCACTATGACAATACTCCAGTTTATGTCTCTCATCAAACAAGGGCAATGTGGTGAGAGTTTTGATGGAAAAGATAATATATATAAAACAGAATACACAGAATATAATACATATGACAAAAATAATTCCAATCTTGCTAGATAAATTATTATTTATTGTTTAGAATTCAAATTAACTCTTTCCATATGATTTCTTTGACATTTCACATGTCTTCGTGACATAATCTTATTTTGAGAATTGGTTATTTATTCAACAAGCATTCATTGAATGCGTACCTGTGTCAGGCATTGTCTAGGCTACAGAGATGTAAATAGAGCAATGACTCCTTCCTCTCATGAATAGAAGTGGAAATTAATGCTATTGATAAACTTTGAATACAGTGATATTTTCTTAGTATGCTGAAGTATACCTCTCTTTAACAACAGCCAACATTGAGCTCAAGAGTGCACCCTTAAAAGCATTCTGAGTAAAATCTGGAACAGGCTATGCTAGCATTATTATTATTTAATATTGTTTAGAACATTCTAGTTACTGCAATGAATACAATAAGAGGTTTGTCTGTTGGGAGGGCAGAGCCAAAATTATTATCTCCACATTGGAGAAAATTATCTAGAAAATTGTTTTGTGTAGAAAATCTATTGTTATTTAAAATAACTTATTTTGGACAAATAAATTAAAAATAACTTATTTTGTATTCTGTAATTTATTGGATACTTTGATTCAGTAGTTTGGAATGCTACCTTCATTGTGTGTTAATTCCAGCATATAGGGAATATACCCTTTCTGCCTTGTCTATATTCAATGCCATTGGTGAAGGTCAATACTTATGACTGTAAAACAGAGTTTTAACTTGTGTAACTATTTTCACAAATATTCATGTTCTTCTCATCTTAAAACTTATGTGAACTTGTATTCATAGGAAAATTATTACATGCAACAAAGTGGCCACAATTCAATATTACTGGCATTTCAAATACTTTCACAACAATTTTTCATTATCTGGTGAGACATACTCTGCTACTACCTTAGCAAACTCCAAATCAAAAAGCATTATTACACTGAAAATAAATAAAATACTTCCCAATTTCCGTACATGAGCTGTATTACATTAACCTCAAATTACTGACCATCTGCCAAGATCTCTTTTCCTCTGTAGCTCTCCAATGAAGTTATCACCTGTTATTTTGGCAAAGATCTTAAAGTGAAAATGCGCTTATTATACATCCCCTTTCCCTCTAAATTTGCTTATTTAAGTCTGAATTTCACAGGCAATTACACATTCACTAAGACGATTTACCTAGGCATTCTTAGGAATATTTATCAAGGCCCTTGGAGTCATATCACATAAGACAGCCTAAACAGTTTAAACTAAGCACATAAAGAGAGTTGATTACACTCAATTGCTTTTTCTATCAAACTTCTTGTAGTCTGAAAATCAGATTCTGAGGCCTAAAAATGAATTAATTTTGAAGAATTGAAGTAAGATTAGAACCCTTTTGGTATAAATTCTATTTGTGTGACAGCCGCCTCTGATTCCATCTTATTCTGTCTGATGTGATTGAATGTGATATGAAAGAGTGCCTATTTCTCTTCAGTGGCAAGGGGCCATTGCAGATTCTTTTAAAATATTTCCTAAAAAGAAAAATAGACCTGGTATTTTAGTTAAAGCAGTGACATTTTGATTAAACCAAAATCTGCCTATCATGTGGCAAATACATACAGAGAGACTCCCATTACAAATATTTAAAATACAAAATGAAAGTGCTGATTTACAAAATGCTTTATTCTTATATCCCCATCTTCTACTCTGATCTACCACAAAAGTATGTATATACATGTATGTGAGGGCAATGAGTAAAAATGTGCATTTGATTTGCCTAGGATACTGCTGTTTTTTAAAATGTTCCAGAATACTGGGGACAACCTTGTGGTGTAGTAGGCAAAACCGCCGCCTGTGATGCTGGCATCCCATATGGGCGTGCTAGTTCCTGTCCCAGACCTGCACTTCTGATTCAGCTCCCTGCTAATGGCCTGGGAAAGGTAGCAGAGGATGGCCCAAGTGCTTGGACCCCTGCACCCACATGGGAGACCCAGAAGATGCTCCTGGCTTCCGGCTTCAGCCTGGCACAGCCCTTGTCATCACAGCCATTTGGAGCATGAACCACTGGATAGAAGATTGATTTTGCCTCTCTCTCTCTCTCTCCCCTCCCCCCGCCCCTGCCTCCCTCCTTTCTCTCTCTCTCTCTCTTTTTTTTTTTTTTTTTGACAGGCAGAGATATAGAAAGTGAGAGAGAGAGACAGAGAGAAAGGTCTTCCTTCCGTTGGTTCACCCCCCTAATGGCCGCTACGGCCAGTGCACCGTGCTGATCTGAAGCCAGGAGCCAGGTGTTTCCTCCTGGTCTCCCATGGGGTGCAGGACCCAAGCACTTGGGCCATCCTCCACTGCACTCCTGGGCCACAGCAGAGAGCTGGACTGGAAGAAGAGCAACCGGGACAGAATCTGGCACCCCAACTGGGACTAGAACCCAGTGTGCCGGCACTGCAGGCAGAGGATTAGCCTAGTGAGCCGTGGTGCCGGCCTCTCTCTGACTTTCAAATAAATAAGATTTTTTTTTTTCAGTTGCAGAATGCTTTATCACTGCCGTGCAAACTCCCCATCCAGCCCTGGAAGCGCTCCAGGTCCTACCACTGACACTCGTCTGGCTGTCACTCACCTTTCCCACTTGCCCACTCCACACAAGCATTCTGCCCTGCTGTCCTTGGCTGGGCTTAGCAGGGTATTTCACATTTGCTATTCAGTGACAGCCACACTTTGCACCTAGATAGCCACCTGTTCCACTCTGTCACTTCATCAAGGTCCCTATTGAAATGTCACTTCATTGCGGAGGTCCTCCCCCCACCAAGCCCATCTCAGTTCCCTGCCACATTTTTCTGCAAAGCACCTAGCACCACTGACAAAGAATCTTCCCTTGGCCAGAGCGTAGCCAGGCTCCTCTGAGTCCTTTTCTCGCTTTGGCCTCGACATGGCATTTCTGTGTCATTCTTTCAAAATCCAGTTTTAGCCAGAATTCTGCAAAGTCAGAGAGACATCTTCACCCTTGATATCTAAGCAATCCCCATTTCTGATCAGGTATCTCCTCTCCTACTATCTCCTGAGTGACGTCTGACCACCCCTGCCTGCCTTCAGCAAGAACTCTGCCAAGTCTGTCTAGCAAGAAATCTCCCTCCCCGGGATGCTCCTCTTACTGATTTTCAGTACCTATTTGCCCATCTCGAATCTCTGCAAACTTCTTGACTGTAAATCTGTACTTGTTCTTGCTGTATTTAGTATTGAGCCCACTTCTATACTGAGGTCTCTTCCTCTTTTGCAACAGTTTACAAATGCAAATCTGTTTTGTTCCTTAAACCACTGTTAGTCTGGTTTTCTTTTCTTTTTTTTTTTTTTTTTTTTTTTTTTTTTTGACAGGCAGAGTGGACAGTGAGAGAGAGAGACAGAGTGAAAGGTCTTCCTTTTGGTTGGTTCACCCTCCAATGGCCGCCGCGGCTGGTGCACCGCGCTGATCCGATGGCAGGAGCTAGGAGCCAGGTACTTCTCCTGGTCTCCCATGGGGTGCAGGGCCCAAGGGCTTGGGCCATCCTCCACTGCACTCCCGGGCCACAGCAGAGAGCTGGCCTGGAAGAGGGGCAACCGGGACAGAATCCGGCGCCCCGACCGGGACTAGAACCCGGGGTGCCGGCACCGCAAGGTGGAGGATTAGCCTAGTGAGCCGCGGCGCTGGCCAGTCTGGTTTTCTTTAACATCATCCGATAGATACTATTACCTATTTCTACCCTTTGCCTTCTCTATTCCTGATGTAATCACCAACAGTAGGGACTTTGCTGTATCTCTGGTGACTAGAAGAGTGTTTGACATACAACATGTACTCAGAAAAGTTCATAAAATAAGTGGCTTTCTGGGAGCAGGCATTTGGAGCAGTGGTTAGGGATGCCCACATCCCACATTGAAGTGCTTGGTTTGAGTCCTGGTAATTCCACTTCTGATCCAGCTTCCTGCTTATGCACACATTGGGAGGCAGCAGGTGATGGCCCAAGTACTCGGATCCCTGCCACCCACGTGGAAGAGCTGGACGGAGTTTTAAACTCCTGGCTTTGGCATGGCCTAGATCTGGCTATGGTGAGCATTTGGGGAGTGAACCAGCTACTGAAGACTCTCTATGTCTATCTCTTTGCCTTTCAAATAAAAAGAAAATGAGGGCTGGTGCCGCGGCTCAATAGGCTAATCCTCTGCCTGCAGCGCTGGCACACTGGGTTCTAGTCCCGGTAGGGGCACTGGATTCTGTCCCAGTTGCCCCTCTTCCAGTCCAGCTCTCTGCTGTGGCCCGGGAAGTGGAGGATGGCCCAAGTGTTTGGGCCCTGCACCCCCATGAGAGACCAAGAGAAGCACCTGGCTCTTGGCTTCTGATCAGCGCGGTGCGCCGGCCGCGGTGGCCCTTGGATGGTGAACCAACGGCAAAGGAAGACCTTTCCCTCTGTCTCTACCTCTCTCACTGTCCACTCTGCCTGTCCAAAAAAATAAAAATAAACAAAAGAAAATGAGTAAAATTTTTCTTAAAAGTGGTTTTGTTTCTAATAATATTGTAATTAATTAATATTATGGATAACTTTAAGTTTAAAGATGCAACAGTTAATTAGCATTTTGGTAAATATTAACACTTAGTTGTGTTTCTTATGTAATTGAATACAATACCTATACTTTCTCCTAAAACCAAACTGAACACTGTCATCTCAGGAACCTCTGCCTCTTTAATGCCTTTCTGTCCTCATCCGGGCCTCAGCCCTCTCTTTGGTGGTCTAGCCAATAATAGAGTGGGAACCTTAGGGAATTCACCACTACATGAATTTAGGAGAGCAGTGCTGAAAGGAAACCCACCCAGCACACTGCCTGCCCTCATTTTACATCCTGACCACATCATCCCTGAACCACCCCTAGCACCTGAGAAGGGAAGAATGGCTAACCAGAGTTACATCTCCCATGAGCCTTTTGGCATACCACCTTGTGTGTGTGTACACACACACACACACACACACACATACTTCACCTGCTTCTGTGTATATTTTTCATTGGTTTTTAGACACTTGTGTCTTTATCTTGTTTTCCACTTTGGAGCATTAATTCTTCAAAGCACAAACCGTGTGTTCATTTTCCTTGATTACTCCCCCATAGTCCCAAGCCCAGTGAGTCACACGTGGGTGCTCAGTTTGTGTTTAGGAATGATTATTGGTGGTTGTTCTTAACCTTTTTCTTTCTGTGACACGCTTTCAAATAGTAGAATTTTTGGTGATGCACTTAAGGAATTAGAAACAAGAAAGAACTTGAAATAAGTAGGTGCACTAATTACAGAATAATCACTACTACAATATATAATAATGTCTTTCAATGTCTTTGCAAGCATCTAAATTGCTACATCATTTAATATTACATTACTGTTTGAATAGAGCTGCCTAAAGGTGTTTTGCTAATTCATTGAGTAAAGATTTCTCACGTTTTCTGCTATTGGACTGATGTTAAGATACACTTCTGGGGCCAGAGCTGTGGCATAGCAGGTAAAGCTGCCACCTGCAGTGGGCGCCAGTTCGTGTCCTGGCTGCTCCACTTCCAATCCAGCTCTCTGCTATGGCCTGGGAAAGCAGTAGAAGATGGCCCAAGTCCTTGGGTCCCTGCACCCATGTGGGAGACCCGGAAAAAGCTCCTGGATCCTTACTTGGGATCTGTGCACTTTTGGCCGCTGCAGCCATCTGGGGAATGAACCATCAGATGGAAGACCTCTCTCTGCCTCTGCTTTGCCTCTCTGTAACTGTGCCTTTCAAATAAATAAATCTTTTAAAAAAGAGAGAGAGAGAGAGATACACTTTTTACTGGTAGCTAGTTGTACTATTGCTATTCTATGTTCCATTGCCTACCTAACTCAAATTTTTAGTTGCTGAAAAAATAAATTTTGCATATCAATTACGGTTTGGAATCATTTCCATTCAGGAAATAAATAAACATTTTACTACAGTAGGCTACATCTATGTTAACAGATAATGTTCTTAATTATGTGGGTCTCTCACATGTCTGCATGTGTTGCAAATAACAGCAATGGCTGCATTGTTCAGGATTTCTTTCAAGGATGTTTGTGTATGGAAAAACCTCAAAAGAAAAAGAGAGTGATGGATTTGCTTATTCCCTGTCTAAGAAAGATGACTTGACCAAGCAGGGCAAAGGTCACACAGGTTTATTGCCCAATGTAAACGATTAAGTTTCCCCAAGCTTATTAAAGATATCTCTCTTGTAATGCAACTGACTGTGTTACTCAGTGGGAATTGGGACACAGGGAACCAGTGGCTGGGAGACCTCAGAGGAAACTGGATGATGCAACCTGGAAATGTGGGCATGAACTCCATTTCTCCCTGAGGTCAACATCAACCAGTGGGAAAGAGGAGACAGGAGGGAGTTGGACACATACATTTCCCCTCTTTCCTCCTTCCTCTGGACTACTCCAAGGCATGATTTTTCCTTGCAGTCTGCTGAGAGAACTCCTGTGTGCCAGTGGAGTCACCTGTCTAGTTACTGCTCTGTCTTTTCACAGCTTCTGCTGCAGCCAAGCAGTAACGTCACTTCATGTCATTTCATGCTGCCTCACAGCTTTCATCCCCTCATTTCCCTTCCTTCAATCTTATTGTTCTGGATTGGTCCCTTCCAATAAATATATCAGTGCCATATTCATTGGTCTGGGCTCAGTCTTCTTATCCAGGCTAGAGTAGTGGCTAAATATAGAAGAACTGAAGATTCTAACAGAATAAATCGGGTAGGCATTTGCCTTTGCAGTTAGGATGCCCACATCCCATATTGGAATGCCTGGGTTCGTAACCTGGCTGCAAAACTCTTGACTCCAACTTCCTTATAATGCAGGCCCTAGGAGGCAGTAGTGATGGTTCAAGTGATTGGGTTCCTGCCGCTCCAGGTACATAAGAGACATGGAATGAGTTCCCAGATCCCACCTTTGATCCCTAGCCCAACCCCAGCCATTGTGGGAATTTGGAAAGTGATCCAGCAGATGGGAGACTTCTATCTGTCTCTCTCCCGCTATCTCTCTGCCTCTCAAAACATTTTTTTGAAGAATAACTATGTTCTTTTTTTTTTTTTTTTTTTTTTTTTTTGACAGGCAGAGTGGACAGTGAGAGAGAGAGAGAGACAGAGAGAAAGGTCTTCCTTTGCTGTTGGTTCACCCTCCAATGGCTGCTGTGGCCGGCGCACCACGCTGATCCGATGGCAGGAGCCAGGAGCCAGGTGCTTTTCCTGGTCTCCCATGGGGTGCAGGGCCCAAGCACTTGGGCCATCCTCCACTGCACTCCCTGGCCACAGCAGAGAGCTGGCCTGGAAGAGGGGCAACCGGGACAGAATCCGGAGCCCCGACCGGGACTAGAACCCGGTGTGCTGGCGCCGCAAGGCAGAGGATTAGCCTAGTGAGCCGCAGCGCCGGCGCATAACTATGTTCTTGCTAACCCATATTCTAGATCATAAACAATTTCTTAAAATCCAATACGGTAAGTGCTACTTATAATACGTATAAATTTGTGTTTGATCTTATAAAACATACTGGCGGACAGGCATCTGGTCCAGCAGTTAAGATGCCATTTTGGGTGCCCAAACCCATATCACAGTGCCTGGATTCAAGTCCTACCTCTGCTTCCAATAAAGTTTCTTGGTAATGTGTACTCTAGGAAGCAGCAGGTGATGGCCCAGGTACCTGGGTCCTTGCAACTCACCTGGGAGACCCAGACTGAGTCCCAGGCTTGGCCTGGCACAGCGCTAGCTGTTGCAGGCATTTTAGGGGTGAACCAGTAGATGGAAACTCTCTCTCCCTCTGTCTCTCTGCCTTTCAAAAATGAATAAATATCTAAAATTTTTTAAAGTACTAGGGACTTAAATGAAAGCTAACTAGTTCTGTGGGTGGGGCTGTCACAGCAAACTAAAGAAAAGGGGTGCATATTAGTTTTGTAGGGCTGCTGTCCTAAAGTACCACAACCTGAGTGGCTTAAACATTATTGTCTCAGTTCCAGGAAAAAGAAGGCTAAGATCAGAGTATCAGAAGGCTTAATTTTTCTGAGGGCTGTAGGGAACAGTTCTGCTCCATGCCTTTTTCTAGCTTCTAGCTGTTG